GACCCAAGCCTTAACATACGGGCATCGGGCCCGCGGGCCCATTAGGGTTTCGAACCCTGCATAGTGTTGCTTTCGGGCATATATATATATATATATATATCTGCAAAAACCCAATTTTTCTTAGCCGATATATGGCGCCACTATCTATACACAGTGAGTGCTTGTATACTATTATAAATATATCATACTCATCTATACAAGCGCTCAGTGTATAAGCATCGTGGCGCCATCTTTCTGCGAAAAAATCATATTTTGAAGGCCAGGGTTCTAAACTAGTATATATGCCTGCAAGCAGCAGAGATACAAACACACGCTCACACATCTCGCATGCATTGCTTCTGCCGTTATCAGTGTGACACGCTAACACCAGACCAAGTTCGCATGCCGCTGCCACCACCACCAGATGGCGTTACCTGTGCGTTCGCCGATCTCGAAGTACTGCGCGTCGCTGCCGCTGATCTCATAGCGAGCGATGCCGGACTCCGGGTCGGATGCTGTTACCGTGGCGACGAGAGTCCCTAGCGGCGCCTCCTCCATCACGGAGACGTCGACCTGCGGACTGTCTGGCCGCCAGGGGGCGCCAAACACGGGCGGCTTGTCGTTGACATCGAGGATGTCGACAGCGAGAGTGGCTGCAAGCGAGCGGAGCATTGTCATGCGTTGCCGTGACGATGATCGCGGGAATTAACGATTAATTAATTTAATTACCAATGTGATCTGGCATTGGTGCATTTTAACGGCGACATATTACATTCCCCTTGCACGAGGAACGCCCGTTAAATATTACACTTGCCATGTCCGTTCACGATCAAATCATAATATTCGCATCAGGATAATCTTGTTTGGCTTTTTCCCTGCTTATATTGTCTTGTTCTTTTCCATAATGCATTGCAACTTGTGTGAAATTTGATAGGGGTGCTTAAATGATAGACGTATAATATATGATGTGTATCTATCATAAAAAAATATATTATATCATTTACAAATAAATATAAACAAATATACAATAGATATCATACAAAATATACATCCCGTACATCTATCATGTAAATATATATCCCAGCATTGACAACAGACAAGCGAACGCTTCAGCGAGCATCTCTACACCGTCACCAGGGGGCACTACCTGTGCCGGTCTGCGGGACGGCGGCAGCGACGTCGGTGGCGACGACGCGTAGGTGAACCCGCGCCGCGACCTCGCGGTCGATCCGCGAAGATGTACGAACATCTCCTAACTCGGCGTCGATCTCGAACCACGGCTCGCTGAAGTTGGCGACGATGGCGCCATGTTTCGTGACGACAAGCGAGGCTCCGTCGAGGGAGTAGCGAATCACGCTCTCCGTGTCCGTATCCGTGGCAACCATGCGCACGAGGAAAGTGCCGATGGCAGCGCCTGCGCGGAAGATTAACGAAGAGATTAAAGCAGGTTGTTAAATAATTAATTAATTACACACACATATATATATATATATTATATTAAAGGCATACTATGCCCATTGATTATGCAATGTTGACGAATGCTAGAGTAACTGGCACCTTGTGTAGTTAATAAGTACATAACCTTATAGCCAAACGCGTATTAGTTTGTCCAATATCACTGCTGGTTATATTACAAGCAAGACTTGAAATCGGTTGTTGATATTCATTTACGTGCCGTAAATGTCATCCAGGAGTCAAGCAATGACGTAA